GAGAGAGAGAGAGAGAGAGAGAGAGAGAGAGAGAGAGAGAGAGAGAGAGAGAGAGAGAGAGTCCGGACATGGTGGGTGAAGAGAGGGACTCGGATATGGATGGAAGAGGAGGATTAGACACCGCTGCAGATGTGTTGGGTTAATGGTTGTTATATATTGGTATATAAATAATAAGGGATGCTGAACCGGATTTCCAGCAGCTGCAGGCTTCTCCCCACAAATCTCCAAACGCTCACTCCCTCCTCCTCCAACGTGCAAATCCGAGAAAACTCGGTCCTTTCCCATCATGCACGTGTTTATCCTTGTCGTTTGATAGGTTCGCATAGTCTTCCTTCTTCTCCTCTCCATAGTCTTCCTTCTTCTCCTCCATAGGCAAATCTTCACCTGCAGCTCACGTCACCTCCTTTTTTTCTCCTTCATGTTCCATCTCCAAATCCTTACCTCCTTTTACTTTATGTAAATCTTCCTCCTCCTCCTCCTCCTCCTCCTCCTCCTCCTCGTCTTCCTTGTCTTCGTTTATGTAAACCCTCCTCCTCCTCTTCTTCTTCCTTTTTTTTTGTTGCTAACTTGTGCTTATGACCATTTAATTCGTCCCAGAAGACCTCTTCCTTAGGTCGTTTCATCAGATCGGGATCAGGGAGGAGGGTGATTCATTCTCGTTGTTGAATAGATTGGTGATTCATTCTCATTGTCGATTAGATAGTTTGAATCCGTTCTCATTGATCAGATCCATGACTGATTCTCATGGATTGATTGGGTGAACACCAGACTACGCGCTATTGCCTGATAACCATCTCCTGCTTGAATGTGTGTGACCACTCACACTACTCCGTTGCGAGCAGGAGATGGAAGTGTGACCATCTATGAGGAAGGAGCAGGGGGTGCTTATGAGGGACCACGAGATGGAAGTGTGACCATCTCCTGCGTATGAGGAAGGAGCAGGGGATGCTTGGGGGGGAGGAGGACCCGGTTATACTTCCATCTCGTGGTCCCTCATAAGCACCTTCTGCGCCCCGTGATTTTGTATACCATGTTTGTATGGTGGCGTGATTTAATTGGTGAATCCACCTCCCGTAAGGATGCAAGCACAGCTGATTTCGTCGTGCGATTAAGACTGCGCCATCTGTGGCGACTGATGTTGGCCTGAGCAACTATATCCCTCTGGATGCGACACGTGTCCGGTCAACTATGTCCCGATCGTGACTTATGATCGACGTGTCTGGACAAGAATGTCTAATTTCTGTCTTGGTCGCGACTCATGTTCCGTGTCCCTCTTGACGCGACACGTGTCCGGGCAACTATGTCCCGATCGCGACTTATGATCGACGTGTCTGGACAAGAATGTTTAATTTCTGTCTTGGTCGCGACTCATGTTCCGCGTCCCTCTTGATGCAACACGTGTCCGGGCAACTATGTCCCGCTCGCGACTTATGATCGTGTCTGGACACGGGCAAGCATGCGAGCGCCGGTCGGAATCTGGATATGGCACTGGCCAGCGATGCCCATCAGTGGCGACCGGCGGCCGGGATGTACTTGTCCACGCACGTGTCGCTTCAACCGGGGATACGACGTTCGGTTTGTTTTATCCACTTCTATTTTATTACTATGTTATTACTATGTCCCGAAAACTCGTAAATCTTCCACCTGCCCCCTCCCCCTTCTCTTCCCAGTCACTGTTTGCGATGTACATTGAATGCAGTCAACTCTGCCCAACGCAGAGTGCAGGCAAATGTCCTTTGTTACAGACAAGCACTGGCAGCCCTCTTTTGAACCCGTGTGCTTCGTACCACAGTTATTTTCTCCTCCTACCTGATTGGTGCGGCTTTGCAAGGAGTAACAAGTTACTCTGGCGTCAGAAGAGGTGCCTTGTTGTGGAAAAGACGAAGGAAGAGGAAGATGAGAAGGAGGAGAGGGAGGAGAGGGAGGAGGAGGAGGAGGAGAGGGAGGAGGAGAAGGAAGAGGAGGCAGAAGAGGAGTACAAGGAGTACAAGGAGGAGGAAAAGGAGGAAGAGGATAAGCCGGCTGAAGAGTGGCAAAAAGAATGGAAATAGGAGAGACATGGAAGGGAGGTTTAACTTTTTTTTTTTTTTTGGCCTCCTGGGGATCCTCCCTTCCTCCCTCCAACTTCTCCTTCCCTCCCTCCCTCCCTTCTTGTTTGTCTGCTTCTGTTGGCCATGCTGGTCTACATGGAGAAGGGTGGGGCCACAGGTTGGGGGGCGGGCGGCGTACTCAAAGACAGTATTTTGCCAGCACCTGCGCCTCCCACCTACTGGAAGTAGGCTCCGTAGAGTAACAACTACGCGGCACACTAAATGTATCTGTAGTTGTTGGAGGTCCATTACGGACTGTCAGCCATAGTGCGAGCAGAGGTCACAAATGTCTTTTGTCTTTTGAACCAAAGATGAAGCAAGATGGTCCAACTGTCCATGGATGGTCATAAGGTGAGTGAGAATGATGCCAGGATTGCTGTTTCAACGTCCTAACGGGGTGGTGATGAATGATGCATGATGATGATCGTAGTGGGGGTAGTGGGGTTGGTGATCGAGTGTACCGATATGGAGGATGATGATCATGATGGCGATGATGATGAATGATGGCTGGTGAAAATGATGATGAAGTCTGAAGAAGAAGTAGTAGTATGATGATGATGATAATGGTGACGATGGATGAATAATGATGGGTGATGAGTGCTGATAACGAAGAAGGAGAAAACAACGATGAAGATGATGATGATGATGTCGATGATGATGATGATGACGTCAATGATGAAACTTGACGACGTGATGATGATTGGTGATGATTGGTGATGTAGGTGGTGATGATGCGCATGATGATGACGATGATGATGATGATGATGATGGACAAAGGAAGGTGCTGACTGCGCTCTGGTTTTTTAATGGCACATGTGGGTTGTTTGGTGGATCTTAGACAATGCGTGGAAAATTGTGAGGTGACAGGATGTGCAGTGCTCTGGCCACCCGTCGAAGGAGGCAGGCATTGCATCAAGGGCTGTGTTGCAGAAGATGGAGAGAACAGCGGTACAGCAGGGACGAAGAATGGATCATCGGCCAAGTGGAGGGGCCCCACTGAACCGTGGTATCTTCCCCTCACTCAGTGGGATTGCCTGAGTGAGTGTAAATACCAGTGCATGGTTCGTGTGGAGACGCGGAAAAAGAACGAGGCACAGTCACACCCACCGTACAGAGCTGAGCAGTACTTTGGGAAATGGCCCTTCGTAAGAGTTCTAGGGATTGAGGTCAGCATCCACTCCCATCACTGCTCCTCACTAAGGGCCAGGCCCCAATGGGCCTATGTTTACATTCTAAGAAAGTCTGAACATGTGCATCATTACGGTCAGGTTCATGCTTTTCGAGCATGAACATAGGGCATTGCTCCACTACTCTCCACATGCACAAACAGCAAAAATCATGGCGTTGTATCTTTCCGTGTTCTAGCGGAGGATTCGCTCTCGATTTGCACATTTGGAGAGTAGTGCAGCGAGGCCCATAGTACCAGTGGGGCCTGGCTGTAAAGTTGCTTGTCAACCTTGTCCTCTTCCTCCTCCCTTTCCCACCCTCCGCCCCCCTGAGAGAGAGAGAGAGAGAGAGAGAGAGAGAGAGAGAGAGAGAGAGAGAGAGAGAGAGAGAGAGAGAGAGAGAGAGAGAGAGACAGAGAGAGGGCCCTCCTGTTTGAGTAGCGCCCTCCCCACCCCCAACGCTGACGATTTTTCTTTTTCAGTCAAGCAAGTGCCCTGAAAATTTACAGGCATATACCTCTTGTTGCAAAGAATTCTAAGAAAAAAACAAAATTGGGCCCTGAAATAATTTTTCTGGCGGGGGGCCCTTGTGTTTGGCTGGACCCCCTCATCTTCGGGTGGGAGGGGTAGACACCTCCGGAACCCAACCCTGGAACGTTCGGTCAGGCAACCCTGGTGTCCACTGTATGAATTGGTGGCAAGTTTGGTTGAAATGGCCTTTTGGGTTTTGTTGTAAATGGCGTGACCTGAAAACTTAGGCCTTTGTTAACCATCTCTCTGAAAGTGGCACCAAATACAGCCATAATGACCGAGCTTTCTATTCGGGTGAAGACGGCAGTCGAGCCATAAGGCACGCAGCATCAGCAAGGCGCACAGGCAGGAAAGCTTTGGGCAAGTGGGAAGTCGAGCAGCGAGGCAAATGACCTGGCAAACGCGACGGGGAGCAGCAAGGCAGGCAGGCAGGGCAGCCCGATGAGCAGCAAGGCACAGGGACATGCGAGTGGGTGAGGCGACAAGGCAGGGCATGGCGAGGCGGGTGGGCAGCCAAACAACAAGGCAAGCAGCAGGGCAAGATGACAAACAGCAGCAAGGCAGATGAGTTGGAGGGTGGTCAGCACAGCGAGCAGTAAAGCAATAAGGCAAGCTGCAACATGGGCAAGACGGCAGCAAGAGCACAGAAACCCAAAGATGGAGCAAGGATCAGAGCGGACTATAACCTACTCACATCATATGGAAAAGACTGCAGACTGTAGGTTCTCACCACAACCAAGAGGCAGGGAGCCACAAGACGAAAATGCCTGTCACCAGCGAGCACAGAGACAATGACACCCGAACACAGCAGCCCCTAATAGTGTTACAGGCACTTCTAACAAGCAGGCACACAGAAAAACACCAGAGCGCACGTGAAGTGGATAATACCAAGAAAGTACTTAAAAACAACAAGAAGAAAAGAAGTGCAAGGAAGATGAGCATTAGCGAACTTCAGCAATCAAACCGCATCATACATATGAGCCCAGATAGTTTTGACCTCGAACCACAGCAGACTGGCAT